TTTTTAAATTTACGTTAGTGTCTGTGCGGAATTGCTAACTGGTCTTTGCCAAGAGGCTTTGTGTGGCCCAGACTGGGTGGTGGTCATGAGACAGCAGTCTGGTATGCAGCAGCAGAGGTGGATTCTGTCTTGAAATTATGTTTTTGTTTCTTCTAACCTCTCCAGCTTTCCCTCGTAAAGCCACTATTACGACTGTCGACTGATTCACTACCACTTGTTGTTTTTGTGTTCTTCTGTCCAAGTGGAAAAAGCCCAAGGATAGCCTATCTCCTGTTTGAAACATTAACTGGCTGGCCATGATGAGCTTGTAAAATTCTCTGAGTTGCACCCCTTTTTTTTTTTTTTTTTTTTTTTCATTTCTGTATTGTATGACAAATTATCCTGTTTAAACTGTAAAGAAAAAAGTGTTTATTTGAAAACATATACATGAAAGAAACCCTAATTACAGACATTAATATGCAGTATACTTGTATATGCAACGTATAACTTTAATGCACTTTTTCCTCTAATGAAGGTCCCCAATTAAGGCAAAATTAAGCCCATGCAGAGGCAGAGGTAATTTCTCTCTGTTGTCACAAACTCTTTTTGTAGATTACTTGAATGTCTGTTATTTTTTTAAGACTTATTTTTATTTTTTAACATTCTAAGTCTAATGAATATAGCTGATTATTTATTATATGAGGAGAAAATCCCTTTGGCAAGAGAAACTTGCCTAACAACACAATCATATAATGTGCTACTATTAATACAAGTGTCTATCTGAGAAGGATTTTCTATTTAGTTTTTGTTGTAATATCGAATGTCTTTAATACTGGTAAAGGAAATAGAAAAAGGAGATTGTATTACGAATCACTGATAAGATGTATGGATGTTGTTAAATTCCAGAGATAAACATATTTAACTATAAATCCTGGTGATGTAGTCACTTAAATTTGTAATTGGGGGGGGGCGAAAGCAAATATTGTTGGTTTGAACCACTGAATTACAAGGTTACAGTCATTTAATTGCCTCCAATAAAGTAAATGTATATAGTTAAAATGTGCAACTGAGCATTCAGTCAAAAAAGAAGGCTTGTAGAGAAGCTGTTTTGCATCTGACTGAATGACTGATGTGCTGGCTGACATAATGTAAAGCACTATTAACTGAAAATGTTATTAAAAACAAAGTGAGAAGAACGAGTAGATGTGGCTCAGGCTGAATGCTTCACAAACTGATTATTGTCTTTTGTTAAATCCTATTTTTTTAAATTTAAATTTCATTTTTCTCAATTCCATAATAATAAAAACAACATGCTATTACTTGCACAATCTCCCTTTTGTAGATATAAAATTATGCCGTTCTACATAGTGAAACGGAAAAAAAAAGTCCTGAATATTGTTTAACCATTTTTCATTTAACATTGGTTGTGTATCATTATTATGTTAACTGTAGTTAAATTTGTAAAAACTTCAAATTTAATAGCCTGCTGCTCTGTTAATAGACCCATCCTGTCTTTATGTGTTTTCTTCCCTCTTATGATTCATCCCGTTTGTTCGAAAACCGAATGAAAATACTTTCAGAACATATTTCTTTTATCTGTTTGTAAATACACGCCATCTGCTGGTTAGTGTGGTTAACTGCATTTCTTTTCACCTGTGCATGAAGATGATTATTGTAATCTAAGCCGGTGATGGAGGGCTGATCTTTCTTCTGAAAAAGTTCAGCTGCTGTTAAGTTATATTTTCTCTTACTAAAGCTGTATAATACTGAGATTTTTTTGAAAGTAACTTGTATTTTTTTTCCAAAGTTATACAATATTTTAGTTTATAGTCATTAAAAAAACGCTTGTTTAAAAAAATATTGTCTGGAATTATTTACATATATCTATGGCTGCTGAATTTGTATTTCTTTGCATTTACATTGAATATCCTACATATTTATATTGTGCATTTACAGTTTATTTCATATTTAGTGGGCAAATGCACAATCTTCATATTAAACTGAACATAAACAATTGTAATTCCGCTCCTATATGGTAGAGGTCTTACTCAACATGAAATGTGAAGATTGTGGTTACTCTGAAGCCAGGAAACACGTGCAACTTTCTAAGATTATGGTGATTGTTTAACACCTGTTGGAAAATTGTATGTTTAGAATGAGTTATCCTCATTATTTGTTTCTATATATGTTATTTGAGCTTTAAAAAGCAGACCCCTCTTTTTGTGCTCGCGACCTACATTGGGTAAGCGACGCCCTGGTTGGTTTCAGACTCTCGGACACTCCCCACTGCTGCCAACTCGGTCTCCTTGCGTTTGCGTCGGACGGGGACTTGCAAGTCGACAAAACGTTGTAATTCTGAAAATAATCAAGCACAGCTTTGTAAGCCGTTTCCCCCTCAGACTGTGTTTACGGAGGTGATGCTGGGGGTAGCTGGGATGACGGGCAGGTACGGACAGTTAAATCCTTAACGGGAACTCTGCTAGCATTGCTAAAGCTAATGTCAGGCTAGCTTGCCAACGTATCTAACCTCAGAAGAAAGTAGTTTAGTAAACTGGCTCAGCTACAAAGTAACTAGTTTGGAGTCTTTCATTTACCTTTTTTTTTTTTCATTTCGACTCCTTCAGAATTTGATTTTACAAGTGAAAAAAGAAAGGGATGTATCCAATCCCTATCTTTTGCGAAGTTGCAATATTAGCATGGTAGTTGCTTGACTGTTGAGGGTCTATCTAGCTCTACTAGCCAGTTTTAGCGTCTAACGTGAACCTATGTGTTGTTACAATAGAGGCATTTTTGTAACAATACATACAAAATGCCTTGTGTGTAAAGATTTTTGGTGATATTAGCGTTTTACTAATTTCGACAATTTCACTCAAAACAGCTTTGGATAATTAAAGGCTTATAGATTAAGTACAACGCTATACTCCAAATATAAGTTGAGAATGTAGCTTTTGCTGTGTTCGTTGTTACCGTTTTTGTTTAGATCTAAGCCTATATAACTGCACAAGTGTACAAAATGCAAAGCATAACATGAGAAAATACAAAATGCATCTTTTTCAAATGATCATTTCATTTAATATGAGAGAAAAACAAACCAACATGGCCCTATAAGAAATGCCCCCAAAACTCATAACTAAAAAGTCAGCTAAATGTAATTACTATTTTTGCCACCCACTGTCATCAGGCTTTTTGACTATTTAGTAAATGAGTTTTGTCCCATTCTTTGTTTTAATTAAGCCACAACCGAAGGCTTTTTGCAAATAAACAGCCTGTTTAAAGTAATGCCATAGTATCTTAGCTGAGCATAAATCCTGACTTTAACTAGGCCCATCTGAAACCCATTCATAGTTGGGACATGCATGGCAGCTCCTGTCCTCAAGGACTGGTGTACTGATGGTTTTTGATGTCGCCAACACAGCTAATCAACATTGTCCAACTACCTCCTCACTCAGCATGTCAGAAATCTGCAGAGGCTTGCTAATGAACTGTTATTTGGTTATTTGATTCAGGTGTGTTGAACCAGGGAAATAACAAAAGCATGAACACACAACTTCAAGTCTTGACATTCTCTTTCTTTCTGACAGATCATAAACACTGACATTAAATAAAGCAAGTGAGGCTTCTGATGTTGTTTGAGGTTATTTTGTGGTATGGAAGCGCTCGAAGTAAATTCAGGAGGACGGCCACACCTAATTTCACTAGGGTCATTCTACTCCTGTAAACATGGAGGACATTTGTGAATCGACAGGAAGAGTGGTTATTCTTACACACAGACCCATCTTGGTTTGGAAAGCTCTTCTCTCACTAAATAAAATCACAATCTGAAAGACTTATTTTTTTATTTTCTCAGGTTATTTGTAATGATTAATAAGTTGCCTTGTTTTGATACATTTATGTGGAACAAAAAACAGAAGAAACCTGTAAGGGGGAGAACGATTTATTTATTTTTGCATAGTCGTATGTTGGCTTAACCAGCCATCAGTGCTTCTCTAACCTTACCAAATTAGGTGATGTCTTTGCAGTGACTAAAGGTGAGTTCATTATCCCCGTTCCTCTCAACACAGTTGACGTATACTTCAGATTTGAGCTATGTGAGAAATGATAAACACCGGACTAAGCCTGAACACCGAGGGGAGAAATGCATGCGTGTTTTATTTTCTCCCCCTGTAACACAGCTTTGCGAATGCCCTGGTCAGCGCAGTCTGTGAGCGCTGTAAAAGTGGCTTTGCTCCAACTGAGAAAATCGTCAACAGTAATGGAGAGCTTTACCACGAGCAGTGCTTCGTCTGCGCCCAGTGTTTCCAGCAGTTTCCAGAAGGACTCTTCTATGAGGTAACGCATGTCACATGATGGTGCTCTTTTGAATGCCACAAATCAACGCAATACTGAGCCATACCGAGTGCACAGAAAGTTGTTGACTCTCTTTTACAAATATGTTTGAATGTTTTCCTTTTACAGTTTGAAGGCAGGAAATACTGTGAGCATGACTTCCAGATGCTCTTCGCTCCCTGCTGCCACCAGTGTGGTGAGTGTTGACTTTTAGTATTGACCACGTTTTGTGTGGATTCAGAAAACTAAATTGTTTGTAGCTTTTTGGGAAGTGGCAACTGGAATATTCTTTTTTTTTTAGGTTTGTAATCTATTCATATCAAAATTATAAGTGATATTACACATTTAGTTGTTAATACAATTAAACTATTTTTTTTTCGTCAACACACCTGCTGGCAGCCTAAGTGTTGCAGTGTTTGTCTCATTTTAATTATGCGTTTTCATCTCATGCCTGGTGTGTCGAGTTGATCTGTCGTATGATTTTTTTTTCTTTTTTTTCTTCTTCTTCCAGGAGAGTTCATCATCGGTCGTGTCATTAAGGCCATGAACAACAGTTGGCACCCTGACTGCTTCTGCTGCGATATTTGTCAGGCAGTACTTGCAGATGTGGGGTTTGTCAAAAATGCTGGCAGGTTAGTAATCCCGGCGTTTTACAGTCTGGCAAATAACAGCGTGGCAGCCTTTTGAACAGGTGGCGTCACTTGCCAAGCTTGTGACTCTCTTTGCATTTTAGCAAATAATGGAATTTTAAGCAGCTGTGATGGAGTGTGTCACAAAATCTGTAGGAATGTTTTTAGCTCCCTGTGATTGCTTTTTTTTTTTTTTTTTGTTTCCCTCAGGCACTTGTGTCGTCCATGCCATAATCGGGAGAAGGCTCGGGGCCTAGGCAAGTATATCTGCCAGAAGTGCCATGCTATTATTGAAGAGCAGCCGCTGATCTTTAAGAACGATCCATATCACCCTGACCACTTCAACTGTAACAACTGCGGGTCGGTGCCATCACCTTCATCTTATTCTCATGTTTCCACACATTCTACTGGTAGGATAAATTTAAAAAGCCAATAGTCTTTTTAAATTTTATTCATATTTTTTTTTCCTAGAAAAGAGTTGACTGCTGATGCAAGAGAACTGAAAGGGGAGCTCTTCTGTTTGCCCTGCCATGATAAGATGGGTGTGCCAATCTGTGGCGCCTGCAGGAGGCCCATTGAGGGACGTGTGGTCAACGCCATGGGCAAGCAGTGGCATGTGGAGGTTTGTGAATGCTTCAGTCCTGGGTTTTATTGGTAATATTTATCGCACTTCAATGTGTTCATCACCTGAGAAATGGCTCATATTGTTTTTTGGTCTAAAAATGTGTTTTCTAATTTAAAAAAAACACACTGTTCAAATATTTTGGCCAGAATGAAAGCAGTATAAAGATAATCATGAAACTCAAATTAAAGATGAAAGAATGTCGTTTTTTTTCTCAAATGAGAAAAAGATTATAATTTTGTGTCTCATCTGATTCTGACTTCAGATGTTCTTCTTAAAATATCAGGCACAAAACTCTTATCTTCCCCTTATCTATATAGATAGACATGATTTTGTCCAAATCTTAAAGACATCCTTGGTCTTATTCAGATCTCTGCACTGCAGCCAGACTTGGGTAGAATATACAAACATTCAATAAATTATGGATGTTGTCAAGATATATGAACTTGAAAATGAAGGAAAAGGTATTTGGACCCAAAACGCTTTAAGCTAGTTGGAGTGTTTCTGACGGGCCTGAGAGTTTGGAAAAGACGAATTCTCCAGAGGTCAAGCAAGGCAGATCAAATGATGGATTCATCTGACTGAAGGCTGCTGCATTTCATACTCTCTAAAAGTTTGACACTATTAACAGTGTTCAGCAGGCGGTGTAATGCTGAAGATGTTAATTGGCAGCAAGTAGTTTTACATCCAACCACTTCAGAAATGACAGACATGAGGTTCTTTTTTTATTAGTTACACCATGAATGCTCTGTATTATGGGATGCATGGGTACACAACAAGAAGAGACTACATACAAACTGCAGTGTTTTTTGAAGATTCAGACATTTTACTTGTAAATGTTCCCGACTATTTAACAGCATTTATATCATGTTTAGATGTTTAGATTGCAGCCAACATCTCTTCAGTTTGATCAGTATTTGACTTTCATTAGAAATGCGTCTTCCCCTTAGTAACATCTGTTTCTTTACAGCACTTTGTTTGTGCCAAATGTGAGAAACCTTTCCTTGGTCACCGCCATTATGAGAGAAAAGGTTTGGCTTACTGTGAGACGCATTACAATCAGGTAAGAAGCTAAAACTTGGCTTTGAATGACACGGCCAACATCACAACGCAGGAAGACAATGAAGGAATTTGTTTGCTTTCTCTCCTTGTTTCTCTGCTGTCAAGCTCTTTGGGGACGTGTGTTATCACTGCAACCGTGTGATTGAAGGCGATGGTGAGCATCAGTGTGATAAAACACATAATTAGGATCTTCTGTGGTTCAATAATTAAAAAAAGTTCTGTGGTTCAGTAATGAACAAAGTGTTGCTTTCAGTGACAGCAGCTGAATCTTCTGTTTTTATTTCTTTCTTCTGCACCCCCTCAGTTGTGTCTGCTCTCAACAAAGCCTGGTGTGTCAGTTGTTTCTCCTGCTCCACCTGCAACACCAAGCTCACTCTCAAGTAAGTCTTAATATGTTCATTGATGCAAACCATAAAATCTAGTCACATGCAACTCTTCCACCTCATGTTTGTTGTGCCTCTTACTTTTCTTTAACACTTCTCACTATTAATAGGTGTGTTTTTCATGATGCCCCAACACTGCTTCTTTCTTATTTCCTGTTTTCCTCCTGTGTCTTCTTTTCCACGCCTCAATTGGTGTGTTTGACAACTCAGAGATAAGTTTGTTGAGATTGACTTGAAACCAGTGTGTAAGCATTGCTATGAGCACTTGCCTGAAGAGCTGAAACGCAGACTTGCTCGGCGTGAACGTGATGCTAAAGACCGCAGGAAAAATCCGGCAGTGTGCCTGTAGCTTCACCACTCCATCCATGGGTTGGTGCTGTCGCTGCCTTCCTCGTCGCTTCCTGTGGTTGTCCTTGTTAACTTCTTTCGCTCTATGGCATGTCATTATTTTTTTGTAATTTACTTTCTAGAGTGAAACCAGTGTAGTTGTTTGTGTTGGTGGCATGAATCTAAAACATGTACATGCATGTTAGATATAAGCAGAGCTTGATTGGTTGATTAAATTCAGATGCCTGGTAATTAATTTAGTTGGTCAGACAGAAAAAAGCTTGGTGCAATGTGTTGCATTCGGAAGTTTTGTAATCTAATCAACAACATAAGACCCAAAATACTCCAGTGGTTTTATTCCTGTTTTCCTCTTTGCAGGAACAAGTTTGTAGAGTTTGACATGAAGCCTGTTTGTAAAAAGTGTTATGAGAAGTTTCCGCTTGAGCTCAAGAAAAGGCTCAAGAAGCTGGCGGAGTCATTGGGACGGAAGTGAGCTGCTGTCTGATAATCACCTGGATGGGCTCCTGCTGTGGTAAAATGTCCAGGGAAGATGTTATAGTAAGACATAAAGCCATTTTGGAGAAACTGAATAAAGGAAAAGTTTAGCTCTAGATCAACACCAGTAAAGTTGTAAGTGAAGGTTTATAAGGTTTGCTTTAAAAAAAAGTCCATCTGTTTACAAACCAACATTGACCCAAAAGGTGAAATTCATTGAAAAATATGCATTTATAGAAATTTATGCAAATGTTTCACCTCATACCCATCTTTTTTTTTCTTTTTTTTTAAGTTTTTATATTTTGTTTGATTGTACATTCCTAAATTATTAATTTGTTTTCTGTGGAGCGTTTCAATGTTTAAGTCTATTGTCCCTCTACTATCACCATGTCTGTTAGCTGTGTTAGTGCCTGCCAGAATATAGAGTTTAACATGACTCTTAATTACAAATGTGCCTTAAAAACGAGAGCTGTTTAAATGGGAATTGCTTCTATATTACAACTTGTATCTTTACTCGGTATAGCTGTGCTTGTGTTTGTCTTTGACTAATCTACTGAATACAGAATCCTTTGACCTTCATGTCCTATGTAATTTTTCTAATTTTTAGAAAAATCTTCAAGTTTTCAAAATATTGCGTAAAATTAATATCCTTAATGAATATATATTCCGTATCAAATTGTGAAATTAATGGCTGTGTAAAATCCATGCGCCTATTTTGGGTCTTGTTCTTATTTTTCAAAATCTAATAATGTATGCTGTCTGAATGTGGTTATATATTTCAAATGCCTGGAGTTGTTGGATATTTCTGGATTAATTAACATTTAAAACATTCAAAGGTGAACGGCTAACAGGAAATCAGAAGTTTTTTAGCTAGTATTTTAACCTGTTTGATGTGACATGATCACTAACAAACCCTCTAATTGCTTTGGTTATTTATAAACTTGAATGCGTTCTGAAATGACAGGCACACAAAATAAGTTTTTTGTGCTAATTTTGCCTATTGGAAGATTTTGTGTTTACATTTCAGTTGCAAGCTTGCATTTTACTAGCATGGAATTGAAAATTACAGTTTACTGCATCTTATGTACAGTGCTGAGATGCTTCATTAAAGATCAATAAAGTATTCTGAACACATAATGTTGAATTTGTGTTTACAGAAATTAATGAATCTGAGCTTATTATATTTTTTCCCCTACACAACATAACTTCAGTGCTTGGTGGTGTTAAATTTCCCAAAGTTTAAACCTGTAGCTGTAAGAAGTATTTGTCTAATATCCTTGTGCTCATATAAATATTTATCTCCCTTGACATATTTTGCTTCATCAGTCCTATTCATTTAATCTCATTATGTGATTCATTTGTTCCACTTATAAATAAACTACTATGAATTATCCATCCATTTTCTTTACACCAACAGCTGAGTTGTAATGAAAAAACATATCTAAACAAACATATCTTAAACAACACATCTGCTTATCAAAGCCATACAAACATGGAAAAGGATTAAAAAAAATTGGGAGTACTCAGTGTACCTTAGCACACTAAATGTATTTAACTATGTTACAAAAGGCAGCTGTTAACACAGGCTGGTGGTAGATGAGTAATCATTTATTAATTATTTATTCGCTACACACTGGAGGAACTTGTACAGGTGGGTTTTGGCAGGTAAGGGTAGCATGTTCTCATGCTTTGGCCGGAGGGGTGAGACGAAACTCAAGAAGTGAAGTTTGAAAGTTGCCCATTCACCGAATGTCATACCCAGGAGGGCTTTCAGATCTTCTGTGTCACCAAAGACCAGAGCAGAGCCATTGAGTTTGTGGATTTTCACCGTCTCTCTGTACTTACTGTCTAATTTCAACCTCTCCATCTGAAGAAAAAAGAAAGGAATATAAAACACAATGAGGATAAGTTAGGTCAAAGAGTAAGGCTGAGAAATTTATGAAATATTTTATCAGCACTGATATATGCATAAAGGAATGCGCAAAACTGCTACCTCTGCAAAAACATTACATGATGCAAAAACGTCCAACAAGATCTCTTTCCGACAAACTATCACTACAAATTTTAATCTGAAAGTTTTTTGTTTGTTTTTAAACGAGCTAGCTTTAGAACAAAAATATCCAAGATATGCTATAAGTGCACAAGTCAGACAAACTAACTGTCCAAACTCCTCACCTCTTCACATATGTCGTCTGTGGTCATTTTGATAAGACTTG